CTTTTGAACTTTATAGGCATCTGCGTGTTGCAAGTAAAATAACACTAAAATATTTCCAAAATTACAATTTATTCTGCTTTATTGTACAACATGGAGATTTCTGAAACCCAAGAATTTTGGAAACTGTTGAGAAATGAGGTCAAAAACCTTGACAAACTTTCAGCCATCGAAGCCCAAACACGAATAAACTGAATCCTGATGCAGGGGACTGTACCAGTTTTACCAGGTATCCTTTGGCATTATGAACAATATAGCCACCTTCCAAAGGGCAACTGACCAAATTAGGGATGAACATAGCTAGGATATATTTGCATGAATCAACAAAGTTACAGTATAGAGCTAAATATAATAAAATCTTATGTCAGTTTAGGGTAGATGCTATGTATCTAAGCTTAAATTCGACAAAAATAACGGTATATTGGTCATAAGATCTTTCAATCCTTTTTCTGATGATAATATCCAACCTGATCCTGACAGCCTATAGCCACTTTTGAACTTTGCAATCTTGACACATTGGGCTTCCCCAGAGTTATCAGAATGTTCCTACATGATTTGAGATCTGTCCATTAGCTGGATCCTGGGAATTCCCTCTTGGATCTCTTGCTTCCAAAGGTTTTAAGATATTGTTGATGCTTTAGTTTTCGCTATTGTGGACAAATGCTTGTTTTTTAGCTTAATGCTACCAATCACATTATTACCACTGCACTTTGAATAAATGGTAAGCCATTTTTCTGGCTCCCATACATTCATGGACCAGCCAGAATATCATAGATGCTAAAATGTAATATAACATGCACAAACTCCAGGGGATCATCCTCTATAGACAATACTTAACCTTCAAGAGGGGGTTAAAATTAATCCCTTGTGCTTGAAGTGTCCCCAGATGAGGAAGAGCTTAAGCAATTTTTGTCCCTAGTCTAATCTATTCATGGGTCTTCCACTTGAAACTTTGTCACATTCAAGTGGGTGGGGCAGAGAAATGCCCAAATGGTAAGCTCATTGCATTTTTTATTTTTTCTCCCGAACAGTAAACACAAACATTTGTCAAAAGAGGGTGGGATATACAAGTGTTTAAGCTTTGAAGTGGCGGCATTACTTCTTCCAAGGTAAACACGTTCAACTGATTGCTATCAGAAATGGGTTTTATTTTTAATTATGTTCAACAGTAAACAGGTAGAAATGAAATTAAGCATGACAAGATGGTTCACAAGGCTTTAAAAAAAAAAAAAGAAAAAAAAAAAAGTCACTCATGCAGGAACTACTGACTTTTCCCAGGAATTGTTCAGCTACAAAGATACGAATTTCATGACACCCTTGCATAGTATGAGTAGCTTATGTAGCAAAAACTTACCTTACTCATTGAAGACATTAAAATGACGGTGGCAACATGTCCTGTGTGTAAAGAAAGTGAAGCTACATTTTTAAAGAGTTTTAGTCAAAGCCAGACAACCATTTGAAAGGGTGAAGGGTCACCCTGTCAGTGATAAATAGAAACCAATTTATGTGGGAATACACACTAGATTCCCTTTGTATTTACCATTCTAGTGATATCCTACAGTTACCTATTTGCCTGTGCCAAATATTCTGCATTTTCAGAACGCCTGCAGACATTCAGATCAGGGTCAGTCATTTTACATGTAAAAAAGAAAAGACAGTATAGCTAGCTGCCGTCTCACACCAGTAGAGTTAGAAAATAGGCACTTCAACCAGAAATAATTCTTTTTCATGTTATTATAGATTAAGCATTCAAAGAAAAATAAATAAAAAGACTAAATTGCAAATTGATTCCTATATGGAAGCCAAAATAAATAAATATACTCATATGACAGGATCCCTTAAAAAAATAAAAATTCAAATTCATAAATTCAAGTGCTTAATTGATAGAAATAAATGAAAAAAAGAACTCCAGATTATGAATTTCAAAATTTTGTACATTTTAAGAAATCACATAATATGAACATATTTTGCTTTGGCTTTTTGCAGTGTGTGGTGGGGGACAACAGTCAGTCATGTGACATGCATGATACACGCTAAGGTGATTATGTATCTTTTGATACATGACTGATGAGGCAGATTGTTTCCCACAGTAGCTTGCCATTTCTTTCTGTTGCAGACCAGTTGCCATCCAAGGCTACAGAACCCGGTCTGTCTTGTTATTTAACCATAGATGGAAGGAGGAGAAGAGGAGGAGGATTCATATCTTTCCCAAGGGTATCAGCACATAAATGAATGTAATAGATTCAAATGGAATTTGAGCTCAGCTCTCCAATTCAATCCAAGCTGCTATCCATTACTCTATCGTGTCTCATTACAATGAATTTGCATAGAAAACTAGAACCTCTTTTCAATTATAAGATTTAAAATTTCTTTTATATATTCATGATCTTGAGTGCTTAACCTATAGAAATATAAAAAACATAATAATAAAAAAAGTTTATTTTTAATTGAAGTGACGATTGTACAACTCCAACTTCATGCCAAGCAATATAATTAACCTTTTAAGCATGAGGCTTAAAAGCTGTGGGTGAGGAGACACTTGCAGGTTTGTTACAGTATCAGAAGCAAGATATGTATCACTACAAATTGCTGCTAGGAAAGTGGGTTCACTGTGTCATGCTAGACAATTTTTCTTGCCAGAATCTATCCTGCACATTTATAAGTCAGCCATGTGTCTATGCATTTAATATTGCTGTCACATCTGATCAGGTGCTTCTGCAATGAATTTTAGAGATTCTTGATAAAATACAAAAAAAAAAAAAAAAAAAGGTCTGAACCTGGCATCTTGGCTTCAGTCACTTTGCCCACCCTTTCTTTCTTTGCTAACAGTTTCTTTTCTTGCACTTTTTTCTTCCACTTCGTTTTCCAGTCAATTTTGATCTCCAAAAATTTAAATGCAATGTAGTCATCTTGTGTCTTCTCAATTCCTGTTCTTTCATTGTTCTCTCTCCTTAATAATGCTTCCTTTTTCTCATATTCCTTCACACTCAGTAACTCTTTGCATCTTAGTGGCTTTATTGCCTATGATAAAATAAAATAAAAAGAAAACAAACAGATGTTTCGCTTCTTGAGGAAGACATTGAATGGGTGTCTCAATCCAGGACATCTCTGGCAAGGCATCACCCATGCTCAAATAAATTCTAATCGTATGTTTGTGTAAGCTGACCTGCTCAAATCCAAACTCAAATATATTCATCTCTGTTTTCAAAATGGATGAAAACAACAGTATTTTTGTGACACTTATCCACCAGGGGGCACTCCATTTAACTCATCTGAAATATGAGTCAGCTGAAACAGTGGAACTCCCAACACGAGCAGAACCCCACCCACCTAAAACTATGTTTCCGTCCAGTGAGAAGAGGACATCATAAGATCATACAGTACAAGATCATACACTAACTGCTGCTATAAACAAGATGCGTTCAGTAGTAAAATTGGAGAACAATTTCAATTTTCTGAACAGGCAGACCCTGAAGATCCAGTTCAGCTGGCCTCTCTTATTTTATATCAGGCAAGGCAAAAACTACAATATTTTCAAGAGTATTATTGGTGAAAAGTGTTGATTTTAAATGTGAATGTAGTGATAATCAGTCATTTATGTAACTGTTATTACTGTAGTCATTATATTGCTGCTGCTGCTGCTACTACTACTACATTACTATTGTTACTATTTATAGTATTACTGCATTACTTACAAATTTATTTGTTTTATGCATCCTTTGTTTTGCAATTTGAAGTTAACAGCATTTGTTTCAAGTAGAATAAAGGTAAATTACTCACACTTAGAATTGTTCACTTAGCAGCATTAACAATTATGAGAAGGTTGAATTAAGTTTCAGGTCATAACCATTGTTGCTATTAACAAACAAAATGTCTACTCGTTTTGGAGGACAACCTCTATAACATTTATTCTTTATGAATTGATGAAAGGGTTTAATGAACTTTCAGGTCACAACCATTGCTGATATTAAACAAAATGTCTACCCATTTTGGGGGACAGCCTGTATCCTATTCTATAACATCCATTCTTTATTATGAAAGCTTTTAAGTAACTTTCAGGTTATAGCCATTGTTGCTTTCAAGAAAGTGTGTACACACTGATCTCTCTCACATTCACAGACATGTGCACAAACACCCTATTTAAAAATGAAATATTGTTCAAGCAATTGAAATTTTATTAAGTTTAATTTTGAACTTCTTAAACAAGCCTATTTAATCTAAATGGAGATAAAAGATTGACTATCATTTTCTGAAATTTAAAAAAAGGATTTTCAATATTTAGTTGTATTCTCGTCATCGTCCACTCCAATTGATTTGCATGGCAGCAAATGTTATTTAAAAAAATGTCACATTGATGTACGTACTTGCCAAAGTGCATTTCGTCTTCACAATGACAGTGACTTGATTTTACACTAGCACAGTGTCATTTGCAGTACATTGGGTTTCTTCATCTGTCTGATCCCAACTGTAGAAATGCTAAGTAATCAAATATAGCATCAGAATTTCTCGGAATTCTACCAGACGATTAAAAATTGGTAAGAATTGAATCTGCCTTTAAAAAAAAAAAAAAAAAAAAAAAAAAAACAACAAAAAAACTCTAATCTATTTATATCGTTATGTTTCAGGAGTAATTGCTACTCAATTTGAAAATGTATAATTTAGCTAAAAAATTGAATCTGCCTTAAAACAGGCATTTGATGTGAGATTTAAATGAATTGTATCTTCCTTCAAAGACATTTGACTGCCAAAACACAAGAGTATGATTATCCAATAAGTACATAAGAGATAAATTATGGAATATTCTTAACATGTGAATAGATGTCCTGTATTAATAGCAGTGAAAGACATCATCGTAGCCACTGTTGCACAAACAACACGGGTTTTATACAGAGATTCGGCCTGGACATCCCAACCAATCAACTATCATTCATTCTTGGAAAAGAAAGGAAAAAAAAAATTTAAAAAAAATGTTGAGTCAGGGTCAACTAAAAATGTGGCCATTATTACCGAAACGGTTCGCATCTGTTCAAAGTGAGTAAACAACAAGCTCTCCCTAAAATGACAAACGGAAAAGTGTGCGACGTCTTCAACGTGTTTTTGTCAGGGTCATACTCTTGAATGATTTCTAGAAGCCGTTGTTCTTTGAGCCCGCCTGTGATGTAGATTTTGTTGTCCCGCACAAATGACCCTGCTTTACGAATACTAATGGTGACCTCCATTGTGGTCCACTGGTCAGTGTTGGGGTCGTAGGATTCAATGAGGTCGATGGGACTGGCCAGGCCATGACTATCTTCCACGTTGCCACCAATGGCATAGAATTTATCCTTGACACATGCCAAGATGTGGTTACAGCGTGGCCGCAGCATCCGTGACCTGTCTTCCCATGAATTAGTTGCAGGGTCATAGCAGAGGAAGTTATTAACACAACCAGTTATTGTCTGGCCCCCACAGACATAAATCTTGCCTCTACATGCATCTCCTGCGTGCCCATAGACGGCAATGTTCATAGGAGCCCTCCAAGTCCACTGATTTGTCTCAACTGTGTAGCTTTCCATTGTGCAGGAAATGTTGTTTTTATCTTTGCCTCCAATTGCAAAGAGGACCTTGTTCACGGCGACCATAACAAAGTCCTTTCGTGCCTCCATAAGTCTGGTAAACTCTGTCCAGGTATCGAAGCGGGGATCAAAGCGGAAACAACGGGGAGATGCATTAAAATTGTGATCATTGTTACATGTCCCTCCGCAAACATACATGAAATTATCAACTACAATAACTCCTGGATTATACATTGGTATCAGTGGATTACGCAGTGCTGTGAACTTTTCGGTTTTAAAGGTGTAGCTTTTGGGAGACTCGCCATGGCACAAAACTAAGCTGACTTTCTCTGAACGTACCTGGGTACGTTTTGTCTGGTACATAGGTTGTTTACTTATGTCCCGATTGTAGTCCTGAGCTTCACGGAAAAGTCGACTGCAGCCAGAGATGTTGCGCATGACTGGAAGACGTGCCAGTTTATCGAGCTCATCCAGTCGCAGCAGCGGTAGGCGAATGTTTTCAAGCAATTGCGGAAGGTACTGTTTGCGTACTTTTTCATCAAAATTTACCCAATCAAGAACAAACATCACCAATTGATACTCAGAGGTAACACGCAGGTTATCTCCAGCCAAAAGGAATGCCAACTGGCAATGTGTCAGCTGGTAGTACTTCTCAGTGCTGACGATTTTCTCAAAGTTTTCTCGTATGAAGTCCCGAGACTTTTCCTGAGCTTTCATCAGAGAATAGACATCGGCAAGAATAAGGACATCAACGCAACTGTCCAAGTTGATAGACTGGACCAAATATTCTGTGCACAATTCAACTGAATCGATCACCTTGAGAAAAAAAAGAAAAAAAGAAGAAAGTAGTATTACAAATGAACAAAATGGATTCATTTTTATCTTCCATGTAATGAAAGAATTCAAAAGAATAAGAAAATGGAGAAATAGATCTAACGTTTACAGTTTCAGATGAATTTAACCCACAAAAGTATAAATTATTACCAGATATAAGAAGGATGGAGAACCCACCAGCCAAAATGATTATTAAGGTATGAAAGAAAAAAATCACATGGTATATACTTGAGGAAAGTTGAAATGCTTACGAAAAAAAAAACAAAAAAAACTTACATCTGCTTACTTAGTTAAGTGCCATATGTGATACATGCCTCTTGATTCATGACTGACTAGGTAGATTTCCTTTCCGAAGGTTGCCATTTCTTTCCAAGATAGACTGGTTGCCAAGGACCCAGTCTGTCTTGCTATTCAACCCATAGCTGGGAGGATAAGAGATGGTTTCATATTTTTTCCAAGGGTAATTGCACATAAGTGAATGTAACGAACCCAACTAGAATTCAAACTCAGCTCTCTGATTTCTCATTCCAAACAGACATCCATCACACAATGCACATGTAACCATTAAAATGCTCATCACCATATGATGTTAATTAAAAACTTTCCCCCTTTTGGAATATTCTCTTGGTCTTCATTTTGCCCTCTGCTGCAGTGCTCTTTAACTTAAGGGAAAATTTTCACTCATATTTTTAGTTGATACTTATGTGCGTTTTAGGGCAGGGAAAAAAACTTTTTAAGAAAAGCCACTGTCAATGAAGCTGTTAAAAGCATCAGGACAGAAAATAGATTTATATTTGTACCAAAGTTCCTTTGAGAGATTTGGGTGGATGGTGGCATTTGTCACTTGAATACAAGAAAATATATATAAAAAAGGGCAAATATGTAGGTGACATGAATTCCTTTGACTTGTCTTGGAATTTTAATAACTTTGCTTAGATTTATGTATAGGTTATACATGCAAGTTGCTTATGTTGTATTTAAAGGAAAAGATTTTTTTTTGCTTCCAAAGAATAGAGAATGACCCAAGTGTAAAAGAAAGCAGAAAGTGATTATTAGGGAATCTAAACCTTTTCTAGTATTTGGTCATTTTTGATGGCCCCTTTCATTTGTGGATTTCTCTCAAACATTGTTAGGAAATCATCCTAATCTCAGGTGAGTGTGATTGATAATATTGTTCCAAATATTTCCAAGACAAGCTTTATGGCAGTATCCGTGGATTCAAATCTTATTCAACCTGCAGCTTGGTGTTGCAGGAATTGAAACTTTATATAGATTAATGTAGAAGAGAAAAAAGAATTGCAACTTGACTTATGATTTTGTTGCTGAAAAGTCTGTGAAACAATTTCATTGAGTGTTACTAGATTAATATTGATCTGAAATTGAACTAAGAACATGAAGCTATCCATTTAGGAGAAGGAAAGCCTTATAAAAAATACAATAATAACAATAAATTGAAATCATTATTAAACATTGTAGAGTACAATGCAGGTACCAAGTGCCTGGGTAAAGCAGCTGACTTACTGACCAATATCTTTTGTATTTTGAATATCAAAGAGAATGCCAGCAAGGTAATGGTTGCATATGTTGGCAACCCTACAAGACAGAGCACTAGTACATTTTATTTTCAGAGCAAAAAAAAAAAAATTATTATTAAAAACCTGAGCAAATGATATATTAGAGACAGGTCAGAAATGGCACGGCTTTTTGAAAAATTACCATTTGTACTAATTCATCATGGAGTTAATGAGACAATATTCCTTTGAAGAATGATTATGGAATTTAAAGTAGTTTAAGTGGATATAGGTCAAAGTATATATGGAACTAAACAATGAAAGAACATACTGTTAAGAAAAGCGCCATGAAAAAAACAAAAACAGAGAGAAACAATGACAAAGACTGCAATCTGGAGAAACCACAAATTTTAAAATACGAATAGTCTAATAAACAAAAGAAGTTATTTCAAACTGAGGCATGCTGACATTCCTTTTGAAAAACATGAAATGAATAGATTTCAGGAGCATTCAAAATAAACAGGCATCTATTTTTAAAAATTGCTGAGTATCAAAGATCTGTTAACGAGTAACTAAAGCAAAAGTGTGTGGGTGTGTGTGTATATATATATATATATATATATATATATATATAAAAACACACAGTTTATACCAAAAATACTTTTACAAACTTTGGGGGTAGGTCCCTCACACCAAAACAAAGATAGACTGTGAAACAATTTGATACCGTGGGAGTATTTGAAAGGGTCTGCTAGTCAATGATCCAGCTTGTGCATTTTGAACATTTGTTAGGAGTTGCTGTCTTGATGCACAATGATGGCCTTTTGGACATATGTTTATGTGGGCATTTTACCTTGTTTTGGTGTCAGGAACCTGGCCCCAAAATTTGTAAAAGTATTTTTGGATTGTATCGGGGTTTGTGCATTTAACAGTGTCTACCGTATACTTTAAACTTAAAAAAAAAAAGAAAGAAAAAAAAATTTACAGACATATTTATATAAACTTTTGCCCTTTCTTTGATGCAAGAAATCTGCCCCTAAAGCTTTTAGAAGTATTTTTGATACACACTCACTGTGTGTGTGAGTGTGTGTGTGTGTGTGTATAGGGAAAGAGACTGAAAACCATACCACAGGTTGACCTAAGCCTTGTGAGTGAAGTTGGGTAGACAGAACTCATGGGTCATCGATAGCTGTGCTAGCACAATGCCTCAAGTCATCGTGGCCCAAGGTTTGAGTGTGCTGGCCTTGTTCAAATTGTTGATTACACTAGATAACACGCTCTTTCCCAGAAACTGTAACTAAGGTCTGCTTAGCATAGTTGCAGTATAAACAACAGGAGGGTTCTGTGGGTGTCGAGCAAACACAAATGTGCCTGAGTGAGCGTCTGCTATAGGGGCTACAAATAGCCAGCTATTATTATTATTATTATAGCTGTGTGTGTGTGTGTGTGTGTTGTATTAATGTATGTGACTAAATATGGAACGAGAGAAACCTTTATAAATTCACTACTCATGTAAGAGCAAAAATTATAAAATTTATGAATGTTTTCCTACTTGTTCTTTAATCATTTTGTTGTATTTAAACTATATCTTCTATACAAGGAAAAATAAAACAATACTTCAATATTGCTATCTTGTCCCTTGAACTGCTTGAAGATTGTGAAACAGCCATATAACAAACTGGGAACCAACATGAAATTAAGTTGCAGAAAGGCAGCAATATTTGAGTGTGTGTGTGTATATATATATATATATATATTAGTGGCTCTGTTTATATTTTAAAGTTGAAAAAAGTTTTGCAAGACGTGTTTTGTCCTTCAAGACTTCATCGGACTAGATTTGTTAATAGTTTATATATTGTTATCTCATATATTTTCTTTAAATGCCAATCAACATGGAAGATGGCCTAAAGAATATATATATATATATATATATATAGAGAGAGAGAGAGAGAGAGAGAGATATAGAGAAATCAAATCTTATGCTACAGAATTGATGACTTAACGACATGTACATTTATGTCTGCTGTCTATGACTGGAAAAGCATTTATTTTATGCAAAACCTTTTTCAACAGAATCACCTTCATTGTCAATGTGCTTAAACCCAATCCTTCTCCCTTAATCACAGATTGAACATTATACAGTGAACAATTCAGATCTAACTTTGCAGAAACTCAACTTTTGAAGACCAACTGCCCTGTTGTTTGGGAGCCAGTCTGAAAGTACAAATCGGTTCTTAAAGGAAAGAAAAGCAGCTTACCTGTAAATGACTAGCCGCCAGCAAAATGTCATCAATGGTTTCACTAGTTATTTCCAACAAGCCTGTATAGGCAAAATTAATAACGGCATGAACCCCAATGGAAGTTAAGCCAAGTAATGTAACAGAATTTTCACGGCTCTCTCTCATGCTGCCCGTCAACATGGCATTAAAATAGTCGCTGCTGGCAGCCAGCAATGTTTTGTGCACAGGAATGCTTTCATTTTCCACGTGAATTGTGTAGTCAAAAAGATGTCTATCTTCTCGTAATTTCTGATAGCCATGCATTAATTTGCAGCCATGGCGTTCAGACTGAATGTTGATCATGGGAATGAGACTATCAAAGTCCGATCGGCGATATTGTTGTTTTGGTTCAGTCGGAAGAACATCCTGCAAAGGAAAACAAATTTAATCACAACAAAAGAACTTTTAAAAGGATTGTATCACCATTTTTTAAAATAAAAAAAAAATAATATATCATATTTATATTGAAATTAGATATCAAAACTCCAAATCAACTCTCCAATTTCTTGCAACAAGCTGCTAACCAATGCACCAACTGCACAACCAAATACAATTCAGATAATCTGTGCAAGGAAAAAATAAGCCAAACAAAATAGAGGGACATGTCATTTCAATTCAGGAAAAGGATCTGGAGACATCGAAAGGAGACAAGAGGCCGAACAATGGATTTTAGAAGACATATCTTACTGCCTCTTTTCCATAAATAAATGTTCAGATGAGCTCCACTCTTTAGTTTCACCAGGTTTTGGCTTGGTAGGCTATGTCTACAGAGTAGTCTCCATACTGTGATTGCAATAAACTTCAATTTAACCCCCCCCTAACAAGAACTACTACTTTGTGGAACACTCCCACATGAATGCTTCTGTGAACAATACACTCTTACTCCTGCAAATCAAAGTTAATTGCTATTTATCCTCCATAATTTTGTAAATCTTAACACTCCTCTACACCCCCTTGCATTCATATCACACACATCAATAATCCTCTACCATGAGTGGCTCTTGAGGTTGGGTGAACTTCAGCATTAAAAGAGAGAGAGAGAGAGAGAAAAGAAGCAGATGTTTGTAGGAAAAATGATAACAGAAAACTGAAGTGCTTTGTCAAAAGCCAGTAAGTATACACAATTAATGTACTTCACCTAAAATCACCATTCCCCTCACCCCCAAGTTGATTTAATTCCAATTTGGACAAGTCAGAGAGAAGAAAAGAAAAAAACAAATGAAATAAAAAATTTAAGTATAAAGAGAATATATTTAACATTCAAGTTCACCTTGGAGAAATCCTAAGAGAGTATGGTAACAAGCATCCTGAACTCCACACTTAAGACAGAATTTTATGTGATTGAGTTTTAAATTGTGTGTTTTATTACAAAGCCAGACCACCAAGTCTAAAGACAGCTGTATCATATTTATTGCTTTGATAGGATGGCTGACATTAGCTTCAGTTTTCTTCTATATTCCCTGATTTTATTTTGTACCCTATGTGTTCTGAAAAAATACTGACAATTGTAAATAAATAAAATTAAAGCTAAAATCGTCCAAATGCTGCTTTTCATAGAAAGCACATCTTCACTTGGACAATCCAGCCAATGAAATCTTTCCCACATTGCATCTGATCAGAGGCCAAAGTTAATGTTGGTAAATATCTACCTTACATAAAAAAAAGTATAATTATAACAAGTGTACATAAAACTAACACTGTATTTTGAAAAGGTTCTTCCATGTATTATGTCCCTTCAGGACATAGGTGATCATGGCTCACCATAACTTCCTATCCTTTGTAGCTCTAAGTATTGTCTTTTCTACCATCACCCCTCCCTGTTCTACTATCCATTTACACAAACTCTTAAATTAATTTCCTCATTGTTTCCTTCTTACCTTCAATCTGCCCTGAGAGTAGCAAATTTTACAAGCCTTCTTTTCTCATTATGTATCCTAGAAATTTAAACTCTTTCTGATTCTAATTAAAAGTATACTTTTGGTTTCTATTTTCCTTAAAACTGCCTTGTTGCTCATGTGTTATTCTCAGTATCCTTCTGTAGAACCACATTCAATTCCAGTAATATGATTAGCATTTGAATAGAAACTGTATTTGCTTTTTGACAATTATTTCAGATCATTACAAAACATTCCCCCCAAATTGTGTCTATGGGGGAAAATGGCTCATATATTTTACTGATATTTAAAAATATGAGAAAAAACAAAAGTAACAAAAATATAAAAATAGTAGACATGCATCACTAACATACTTACAAACATTATATTTTCATAAATATTCTTAAACTAGCTATCTCCAGAGAAATTGAAAAATCTTTCTTGAAGCTTTTAATTTTAATTTCAAGCTAATAGATTAAATTTGATATTTCCAATAAGCAAAATATCTTCCTGTATTTCAAAACTAATTTAAATGGACTAGAAGGAGCTTTTGTTTTGAAATTACTAAAAATAGATTTTAAAGCTATTCTTAGCCATGTATCAGCACAATGTAATTCTCTTTATTAAAAAAAAAATCTTTCAAAAATAAAATATACTTTTCTGAAACTTTATTTGAAGAATATTAGCAGATTCAAAGTTTTTAATCTGATTTGAAACAAATATTATTTCAGTTTAAAATATTGCAGAAATGAATATTTTAACACAGAAGTAGGTTTTTATTTAAGTTGTTGACAGCCAGAAGTTTATCTATTCTGTTTCTACATTGTAAATATTTGCAAAAATTACTTGATGAATATAACATGAGCACCTTATATAATTTTTAACTACCCATTAAAAATTTAAGAAAATATTCTGTAATGTTTTATTGAATTTTAGGTACTTTAAATTTACTATAGTTACCACTCTTATTTTCTAATAACGTTGTATATGGACATCCTTATTTACAAAAATTGGCATGTTTATACACACACGTAAAAAAAAAAAAAAATCTTTTTAAAATAGAGGGTGGGAGAATTGCTGAATTGTAGTAAGCTTTTACATTCATGATTAGTAAACATAGTTACTACCTAACAATATCACCCAACTGGTAGAAATTAATACAGAAATTTAAAAGCTTAAAAACTTTATGAATTTAAAATTTAAGAATAAAAATAAATAATGAAAATAATTGTTGTAAAAATTCATTATTAATTGAAAAAAGAAAAAAAGAAAGAAAAAGTTTTTTCTTAAGTGTCCATCTTAAGCATAAATGCAGTTTTTCTAATAATGAATGTCTTAGTTTTTTGTCTTTTATTTTATGATTCAGAGTAGATTTTCGGTAACTAATATAAACATTGAACAATACAAAAAAGAATTCTCGAAATTTCACAAAATTAAATAAATGTAAAAAAACGTTTTTACTAAGATTTTCTAAAATAATTTAATTCATAAGTTCTGAAAGTAAGTTTCATTAAAATCCCACAATTATTTGATTTTTGCAAGAATTTTCAAAATCAATGTTTTTCACTGCAAGAAAGACACTAAAATTTCCTCTAATTTTTGGCAGCTGATACACACAAAGATTTTAAAATCTTCTAAAAAGGATTAAAAAATTTAACTTAATAATCAAGAAATCTTTTGAATTTTATTTTCATCAAGTTTTGAGCATTTTTTCATCATGGTATTCTCATTTTTTAGCGAATCTGTGGAAGTATAAACTTTTGATTTATTTCCCATTAGCAAAGACATTTCATAATTTTATGATTGTATAAAAATATGCACCAATGGGAAATTGTATTTTCGCATAATTAGCCTTAGTAGAAATATATAAGTTAATAAAGCCAAATAAATAAGCGTCTTAGTAACTTTATATTGCCTTGCTTGGGGCGAAATGATGAAAAAGTAGAAGAGTTTTCCTCAGAACTCTTACTTTGTGGGACAAACTCCCGAGAGAATGCTTCCCTAACAACTACAATCCAGTGGTCAACCGACATCTATCTATTTTACTTCCTCTTACAATCTCCCTCGGAATCCCTCTACCTGGAGTGGCCATTGGGCCTTGTATCAGTAAAAAAGAAAAGTACAATTTTTAGAATATGCATATTGCAAGATGATATCAGTATTTTATTACAAATTATGAGGTAAATCCTTCAAAATCATAATGTAATAATATAGTAAGCAAGTAAGTATTGATTATATTCTGTAATTCAATCAGTTGTGATGATTTTGTTGTAAAAATAAATAAGACAAAAAAAAAAGCGCTAAGTTTAAGCAAAAAAGTATCTATTTTTTTTTTTTTTTTTTTACTTCGTAATGCGAAGAAATCATTTAGCTAAATATTTGATTTTGTGAATATTAGTGAACAAGAATGACTGATCTGGAATAAAAAAAAATCAAGAACCAACAAGAAAATATTTAAAGATTTTAAACTTAAAAAAAAAAAAAAAAAAATTAATCTTAGAAAATTTTCCATAAATAAAAACAATAAAAATGCTTTCTAAAAAAAGAAAAATTAATAAATTATCTTTGAAAGATGTTTTTTTTTTTAAATACATAAATTAGTCATTCTTAAAGAAAGTATATTTTTTTAGAAATATAATTCAAGATCTGAGACGATTATATTTATTTTCTCCGATAGAAATTACACAGAAAGTATTTACGGATCAAAATTATGCGAAATGACAATGTTGTAAATTTGTTCATAATAAATAATTTATTAAAAAATTAAAAATTTGAAGAGCTGCCGGGGTGCATAAAACTTGTAAATTTTTATGCAATTAAAAAAAAAAAAAAAAAAAAAAAACATCATGCCCCGATATGAATAAGTATTGTAAATAAACAAAATATTCATTGTAATTTAAAACAAGAATTTCTTTCACGAACCTATTGTCTGGGCAAGATAAATAATTACCTTTTGTTACACTGCAATAACTTTTTAACCAGACACTACCGATCTTTTGTGGTTGATAAAAAATATATTTTAAATAAATATCTAATGGAAAAATAAACTCAAAACAATTAATTTTGGAGATTGAATTAAATATTTTCTTCTTTTTAGTGTCGAGGTAAAATATTTCAGTAGCAAAGGAAGGACAACAACAAGCCCATGATTATCATGTTGTTGTTGATGATGATGGTGAATAATCATGGCCTTTTCTTCTTGATTTTCCCTTGGATTTCAATTGCTTTCCGAAAAACTACCACCAGGAAGATTATTTCCATTTTTATTTTGATGATCTCACTTTTATCGGTTAATCTAAACACCTTTTCTCTAATTAAGAAAGCCGCTTTAGGACATTTTAAAAGCATATAATTTGTAGTTCTTTTTCTTTAGTCTTCCTACTACACAAAAATACATAAACCACAAAACCAGTCTTTTTATTATTATTACCCCGGATCTCTATTTATTTATTTATATATATATATATATATATATATATATATATATATACACAATTATATATTTTATTTACACAAAAAAATAACGAATGTTATTTTAAGCCAAGGAAACAAGCATTTTTTTTACATAACTAGCAAAAAAAAATTAATATACAACTTAACTACTAAGGAAATTCATACAATAAATTTGCAATGAAATAAAAGCAGAAAATAATTAAAACAATATCTAAATTTAAAAAAATTTTAAAAAATGCACTATTCAAAAAAAAAAAATCCTTCAATGATTTTTAGAGTAAAAAAATAAAAAAAAAATGCTAAAATTATAAAATCTTGCTTATTATTTTTTTTAACTGAAAATAAAAATCGAAATATTAGATAAAAATAAATTACGCTAAATAAAAATTTAAAATAAATCATTGTAAATTACTTAAAAAAAAAAAAAATACACAAAAAACAAAAACAAAATTTTCTAAGGACAAAAAAGACAATTTTAAAAACTTTTTAAAAATTTACTATAATCAAGAAAATAATTTAATTTTTTTAAAAAATATTTCTATTTTATTATTATTATTTTACAAGATTTTCTGAAAAAAAGAAACCTAGTCTTTATCTTGCATGAATATAAAAATTCGTGGAAAGAATATTAATTAAAATATTTAAAACTTAATTTTTTTTTAATTATTTTTAAAAGATATTTTCACCTCTTCAAGGAGTGCCCAAAATTTTAGATTAAGCAATAATTTTTCTAAGAAAAAAGGTAAAGATTATATATCTTATTCTAGTAGCATATAAATAAATGCAAACCATATAAATTTAATAAATAAATTCCACCTTGAATCAATAGAATTAGTTGTTTTTTTTAATATTTATTTGCAGGATTTTCCGTGCTAAAAAGTTATTCATTTATTTTAAAAATGATTTCCGATAAATACAATATGAAACATTAAACGAGAATGGTGGGAGCTTCTCTTACAGTCAGGATTGTTATTTTTCTAGCTGCATCCTTAAAAGATTTTTAATAATCAAAAAGATCGGGTGACTCACCAAAGATTCGTCGGTCCCATCAGCGAGCTGACTGCGTTTCCCTAACGCCATGACGCACAACTCAAAACTGATGAAAGGCGAGCCACGCGAGATCCGAGTGAACTGCACTGAAATCTCGCGACTAACGTGATTTTGTTCTTTGAGATCTTGATACAACGAGATCATGTTGTCATTAATTGAAATTTTAAACTAACATTTATTTTCATTGAATATCTTGAACTGCATTTATTTCGAAAAATAAAATATTTAATACAGTCTAATCATATAATTTCACAAGTATGAACTAAAAATAAACTAAAAATTTGCTGCTCAATTTTCATAATTCATTGATTTGCTTTTAGAAAAAGAAAGAGTGAGAGAAAGAAAAAAGATAAAGTGAGGAAATAATCCTTCAAAATTCTTAATTAAATTGGTTAAAATTAAATTTAAAAATTAACAGTTGAAGCTTTTGTTAGAATTACTTCTGGTATTGATTTTAAAGGATTAAAAATAAAATTTTATTTTATTTTTTTTTAATTTTGAAATAAAAATCACCTTATGAGGAATATATAATTTTTCTTATTTTGAATTTGAATATGCTTTTGAAAAATACTAAAATTAAATTCCAAATATGTTGATTAAAATTAAAATATAGTTTGTCATCAACAAAAAATATTATTTTTGATCACGAAATAAAAAAAAAATGCTTCTTTTCTTATCGAAACTACACATATTTGAATAAAAAAAACTTTAGTCTTTCTAGTTTTTAATTATATATAAAAAAATGTTTATTATCACAAAGAAAAAAAGCAGTGAATAATTTTTTTTTAGTCAATATCTCAGTCAAAATGTTTCGTCTGTATTTAAGCGTGACAAAAATTTATTTAATTACAGATGGAAAAATACGTAAAACAAAGAAACCCACAGAAAAAAGTCACTATTCATTTCGAATTTTGATGGTAAAAAAAAAGTAGCAATTATTACATTTTTTTTCTTTGAGTTCACCTGCATTATTACATAATTTTTAATTAATTAATAATAAAAACTTTCAAATCTAGATTTAATGAAACTTTTCATTAGAAATTTAGATTTTTAAAATATTTTAGAGATTATAAAATCAGAAAACACAATAATAGCATCGAATTAATAAAAAAAATGAGATGGGAGTTATACGTAGGGTTAAACCTAAAATGATACTCCACAAAGAAGATCGTAAAATATCATGAACGAACTAGAGTTTAGCGTGAGCTTTCTCTCTCACACATGCATGCACGCACACACACACACCATCTATATTACGAAATAAGAGCTCATTCTCTGTCCGTCATAGTTACATGCGCGTATTTAATGCATGCGTATGTCTGTTGTGCGTTGGACTGACTTACATATGCGTATGCCATTTTTGATGTATAAACAAGTACGCATACGTATATACACACAATTTCCCTAAGTTTGAAATATAAGACTAAAAAAGGGTAAGACATTATTAACCTCCAATTCAATCTGCAAACCTCTCTAGAACGAGCAATAAAATCATAATAAACAAATCAAATAATTTATAAGATATTTGAACCGTTCGGAAATAAACAGAATATGTTTTTAATGTTGTAGAAATATTTTTAAGGTCTATCAAATATACAGGGTGGTCCATACATAACAATTTTCTATTTCAACGTAATGTGAAGTATTATCAAGGAGAGAGTTTAACATGAACGATACTAGAATACCCATCAGTTGAAAGAAGCCGTTCGAAGAGACCTTGCAACAATCAACAAAGTAGAGTTTCGTAAAATATCATACAGGACATGGCGCCGCATCATTTTGTGCCACGAAAATGATGGTGTTCATACAGACTTTCTCGATTTGTGACAGCGTTAATGAAAATGAATAAACTGAATACAGTACACGTGCTTTGTATTATTACTTGTTCTTCTATTCTCATTACTTTTTGGTCGGTGTAACAAGACTTTCGGACCACTCTGTACATGGCTACACGCAACGTACATACGCACACAATTTGAATAAAACTGAAATGGGCTTCTGTGTCACGAAGGCTAATTTCCCTGTGTAGCAACAAACACTGGGTAACAGGAAAAGCTTATATATGAAAAACTATTTCCAACACAATATACATACCCACCAACAACAGCATGGCCGGCCAGTCGGCGACTTCAAACGATTCATCTCCCACAACAACAAAGATTGTCAGTGAATTTTCTCTAACGATAAAAGCCATTTTTTGCAACCAGTTTTTTTTTCGTCTGTGAATCAACTAGTTAAAGAAAGTTATTTTCTAAACTACAACCTTTTTCAGTGTACCACCTACCCTAAATAGTTTAACCCAACGAAAAACTATTAATATTTTTTTTTTAACTCTTGATATATTGTACAGATGTTTGTAAATACAAATAATGTATTTAACAGGCATACCTATGTTTTCTTTATTTTTATTTTATTATTGTTTTGAATTCGGACGTTCGAATTTTTAATATAAAAAAGATGAACGGCTGAATTTCCCGCACAATAAGCTGAAATGTACGGCCCTTTGAAGTCGTTTTTGCAACTCTTGCATTTAAGCTGAATATATATTCTATTAAATAAATGTAGTATTTTAAATGGACAAATAATTTAGTTTTGAAATTTGATCATTTTAATGTCAATGAAGTGGTGCGTACCGATCATATACGTATGTAATAGTGAACAACGTGACTCTGTGTTTTTCTTTGCTTAATATTTCATTACCCGTAACTTGTGTCACACTAAAGCAGGAATATAAATTAACAGGTGAATCTTAGATATTTTTGTCTCAAGATTACCGTCAAATTCCCTCATTTCTCCCCCTCCACTGAGCTTCGCTAAGTGCACAGAGTTTCTACATATTAAAAAGTCTGTTCATTCAGTTTTTAGATTAAATAAAAATCTCCTTTCCATAGTTATTTATAAAATGTTAAATAATAATAAACATTGCATTTTAGTTGGTTTACAACTTTACATATTTCGATAATTTTGTAATATTTTTATAAATTTTTTAATAAAAAGATTTATTTTCAAATTTATTTCTTTGTAAAATGTTAAATGATAAATCTTTATAAAAGATAAATAATAAATACAGTGTAACCCGGATATAAGAGAGTTGTCGGGACCGGAGAAGAAGTCTCTTATATCCGGGTCTCTTATATCCGGATTACACTGTATCGCTTTGTACGTGGTTCACGAATTTTTTATAATTTCGTAAATAGACATTGCCGAGTTAGTCAAAAGTGTGTAATCAGTAATAGCGGTGTCAAGAAATTAAACGTCCTTTTCACACACCTTCCTTTTGCGGGCACAAAAGTGAAACGTTGCAGAAGTGCCGATCTATACTTAAACAATCTATATCATTAAACTCAAACAGATATATCTTCACCTCGTTATTTCATGAATGAATTATTGCCAGCTGTCTGCGCCAACCCGATTGACCTATGAGTGAACCTTCACCAACACTGATTTTATTGTTTTTTTATTATTGTTATAATATTCACAAGAGTCATTCAAGGTAGTGGGCTGTAACGAGCATGCGCGGAAGCGTCCTCGAACTGCGTGTGTGTGTTGTCGCCGGACACACCTTGGAGTACCATAATGGACTCGACCGAGGACTATAAGAAGACGCGCGAGTCGTTTGGCGTCTTTTCTTGGGCGACAAAAGCCGTTGCAGTCGGTCGTCCGTCGGCAGCAGTCTTGTGTGCCGTTTTGCTCGTTTGCTGTTGTAAAGTGTTCGTTCGGAAGAGAAGGCGTTCGTTTTTGTGTAGCAAGAAGTTGTTTTTTTTTTTGTTTTTTTTCGCCCGTTTTCTCGCACAAGTTATTTTGGCATTATGGCCTTCGACCTGAAGCTGATACCACTGTTCGACGGAAGCGATTCTGGACATTCGGTAGTGGAATGGTTGGAGAAGCCGGAACTAATATGTCAGTTGAGCGGTGTGAAGCGAATTGAGTGTGTTATCCCGATGCGTTTGGCAGGTGGTGCATATGCTGTGTACCAGTAATTGAGTGAGGAGAAGCGCGCAGACTTCAATTGCGTTAAGAAAGCGTTATACACAGCTTTCGTCTTAGATCCCTTCTCCGCGTGGAAGCAATTTGCAGCACGTCGCCTTCAGCCATGGGAGACGGTCGACGTATTTTTGGCAGAACTGCGCAGATTCGCGGTTCTGTTTGGTGGCGTATCAGAAAAGTGTTTGCAGTGTGCATTCGTTACTGGATTGCCTGAGCATGCAGAGGAGCTTTTAAGAGCGTCATCCCAGATGGAAGACCTGGATTTGTCACATGTGCTGGCACGAGCTCGCGCTATTTTGAAGAAGTGCACTGGTCCTACGGAGCAGGCCGTAGTGGCTGCACAGTTGAAGGAAACAGATGTGCACACGAGGTGCTATAAATATGATGGAACCAATCATAGGGCGAGCGATTGTCTTCTAGGTCGTGAACCATCCAAAGGTGCTGGTACCAAGCACCGACGGACCATCACTTGCTATCGGTGTCATTGGCAAGGGCACATTGCTCGGTGTTGTCCGGGAAACGGGCAAGGGGTTGAGAGTTCAGCGCCAATCTCCTCCCCAAAACTCTTGTAAATGGCGCATTGCCTGTAGTGGCAGTTCGTATCAATGGAATACCACGTACAGCTCTGGTGGATACAGGATGCACACAGTCACTAGTCAGCAAGTCATGCTGTCGTGCATGGACAAGAAAATCAACACGCGTGCTTACAGTAGACGGAGGCGCACTTGACTGCTGTGGTACAAGTTAGCGTTGGTGCAAAACCGTCCATCGCTATGGAAGCCCTAGTCGTGGACGGAGACCTGCTTGGATTTGACTTCCTGCTCGGACTAGACGCCATCAAACAGTTGGGAGGAATATCTGTAAGTGGCGCCGGTGAGGTGAAGTTTCTGCAGTGTGTCGAAGCAGTCGTTGCTGCCATCACCATTACCGAGCCCGACTTTAAAGTAGAATTCGATGAGACCACTCGGAGGTGGACCGCATCTTGGAAATGGGCTGGCAACCAACCTCCGGGTACGTTAAGAAATAGACTGGCAGAATATCCA